TCTGCCATTTTATACATCTAATCACAAATTGCACAAAACCTAGAAATACACAAGTCTACCCGTCTCTACATAAGTAGTGAGAATAATTATTTGGTTCTTAGAAATTGTGAAAAGTTAAATCTAAACCACCCAACGTACGTTGTAGTACTTTTATACATTAGAATTAAATCCAGATATCAACATACTCTAGATTTTTTATTAGTAGTTTTATTTTCTGTTCTTTAATTAGTTCATGCGGGCTCGAATTACTTTTTATCTAGAGAATAGTTTATCTCTTTAGCCCGAACCAGGGCTTATGTAATCGGCATGTCTGTCTGTCTTTCGATAATTCTCCTACGGCCAATTTTAATAGAAAACATGTGCCTTGGCATACATGAGTATGCCAAGGCACATCTAGAAATGAGTCTAGAAAGACTCATGAATAGCAGATGCGTAGGTTGAAATTTCGAAATTTGTATAGGAGTCAATAGGAATGTTAATAAATACTTCGAAAAGTTCCAAATTAAGGAATAATTCACGCTAATTAACTTAAGATTTAGTGCAAAATATTCTAATAGTTAAAAAATCTGATAGCTAACAAAAATTTTAACTAATAAATCCCGGTTCGGGCTATGCAAAGCTGTCCTGAGAGGTTTTATTATTTCTTGTCTTGTCCAAAAACTAGTCAGTCAGTCCATTCTTATATTTCTATCCTCCTCGGATCTGTCGTCTCATTCTTCATTCGTTCGTGAGTATGTTTGTATGTACGACTCACTCAGTTAATACTTCAACTTTTGCAAGTGTTATGTCCGTCTCTTCAGAGTGAAATAAAAAGAGAAAGTCACAGAGAAAAATCTCTCATCCGTCCAACATCGTTCTTACATTAGTTTTACTTTTGCTTCAAGTCCAGCTCCAGATTCCACTCGGCCTTGCCCTTTTCCTAGCCTTGTTTTTTTATTGAAGGAAATCTGAAAATATATGTGCATCAAGTACGAGAGACGAACTTATAAATTTTCCAAGCTTTTGAACATTGACACAACTTCATTATTTTAAATTAATAATAATCAATGAAATCTGAGAAACACGCGTTGAACCTGAGTTTTGTGTTAATAAATTTTACTGAATAGAGATAAATTTTAGTCTAGAAGGAAGTACTCTAAAATCTCTGATTAAATTGAAACCATTGAGCATGAATCTGCTAATCAGAATGTATTCACATTAGTAGCACAGATAAAGCCTTATCAACAAATATAAGCTGACGTTGAATCAGGTTCTTTTGAAATCTTGTACATAGGAATAAAATAAAAATATCTGCAGATAAGAGAACCAAGGTTCTTGTTCATGGGAGATTGTAGAACTCTTCATTCCTTCATTTCTCGCAAACAAAGAGTAAGCCAGGAAGGAATACCTTGTGAAATGAGAACCTTTGGTTTCATTATATTCCTTGATAGAGGGAAACGAATTTTATTCTGTGCTTCATCAAGAAATCATGATAGTCATGATACATGTGTGAGTGGGGGCTGCGAGATATGAGAAATGTGAAGAAATTTTAGAATATAATCCAGCCAAAAGGCTCAGTGATCAAATCAAAATCCAGGACGATAGGGCTTTGTGACAGTCAGGCTTTTTCTAATATAATTGCACTGCTCCCGTTCCTATGTATGAAAACTCGATGAGAAGACATTCTAAATTTGAAACACACTTTTATATTTTTTGCCAATGGTGTATGCATTTTATAAGTTTTCTCGACATTTCTCCGAGGTGCTATTAACTAGAAAGTATTCAAATAATGGCTATGCATTACGAAAATCACTATATGTACACATACATAGACGGGAGAGATGCAGAGAGATTGAGAGATTTTTTTTTTCTTGAACGACTTCTTTCCCAATTCAATCCCACCGGTATAATCCTTTACATTGAATTCAAGGATGAATGAAGTTGGGAGGAAAGGGAGAAAAAAATCGCTTAATACGTCCACCGACCACCTCGATCAGTTTGATACGTTTTGAGTTACTCTACCCATTCATATTGATTAGCTCAGGACTCTTTCGTAGGCCATGCTCACACGGCCAAATCCTCCAGCCCGCCCAACAGATCTTAAGCAAAGGCCAGCCAAACATAAAGAATACTGGATCAAAGGGGGCTCGGAAACCAGACAGATTTTATCACTAGTTTCCAACTTTTGCAATAGTACAATTCAATTCTAACCTTCTGAAACCAAAGAAAGTCTTTGTATACTGGTTTAGATTATGTCCGTGTGCAAAGCTAACAATTTTTCTTTAGATTGTGAAGTGCAATCTTACAATAAGACTTGGTCCGCAATAAGCTAACTTGAGAATATCGCAAACACAGTTAATACTTAATACGAGAACTACGACCACAACGGGAGAAAGAATTTAATAAGTTACATCTACAGAACGTATCAATTTGTGATAACTCCGATATAGCAGCCAATCTACACTAATAATTTTACGTCTAGAAATTGATGACGGGTTGCAGCGTGTAAATGTGGTGGCCTTTATAAGTTTTGTGCATGATTCGTCTATGCATACCTTGCCTGCCTGTGGATGAAGATTGTCCAATTGGCTTGAAAACGTCATTTTATTTGACAGGAATGAATGAGGTTTAATTCCGTCGAGATCATTTCTCTTGGGCGGGTCACTACCCTCCAGTCCCATAAAGCTCACAACTACACATCTACATACTACTCAACCATGCAATCTCAAATACAACAGCATGCAACTCATCAATATGCAAATATAAATGTAGTAGCTTCTCAAAAGAACAACGCAATCCAAAATATCTATAACATTTTTTTATATAAAACGTTACTGGAACTTGAAAAAATCTTTATTCGTAGCAAGGCACATGAAATGCTTTCTCCCGCATGGCTGATCTAACTTCGTTACGCTTCGCTCGCCTTTTAGTTATATAATTTTGCATGAAAAGTAAATGATGAACTCATTGACTCATTAGGTAGGGAACAAATATGTACACTTACACAAAATATTTGTCCAATCAGCTACGCAGTTGTACGTTGTTGTACTATATCCGAGTAAAGCCTAAACTATTTAACCCACATCACGAAGCAAACTTCCAGAACACGAAATTAGTGTATACAGTCCAGCCCAGCGAAACTGCATGTGCAAAATATATATAATCCTGCTCCAGTCCACGCAAGAAGGAATGAATATTTAAACATGTCGGCAGCACCAACTTTATGTACGCGTAATGGATCGAATTCAATTGTTTATAAACAGTGGGACTTGGAGTGAAAAGTTAACTGATTCCTAAACGTTTTACTAAAAAAAGTGTTTAATTCTGACGTGGTTTCTAAGCTCGCCCATTCTTTAACAGCCGAATGTTTAATTCCTGGTAATACTGCTAACTACTGGTTATCGAGAGGAAGCTGCTTGTGAAAGCGATTACTCCTTATGCATTCTCCTTTAAGAAAACAACAATTACCGTTCAATCGATTGAGTTCCTGCATATTAAGCAACACCACTAATACATAAATCCCAGGGAGGGTAAATAAACAACATGACAATTTTCTGACAATCTTTCATATACGTCGAAGTCGTTAAAGAAAGTATGTAATTAATGCTAGTGCACAATAAATATGTAATTTCGCATGTTCTCATTTCTTTTTATACGTATTTCCAAGCTATCAATGCCATACAAAATTCGAGGGCCGTGGAATGATTTTGCGGTGAAAGCAAAAAAAACACCACTTCTTTCAACTTTTCCACTCAGACAAGTTCTCCAGACCAGACCAGACTGTGACTCTCTGTTGACATGGTGGACTGGCCTCTGGAGAAAATATTTGAAACGTCTTCAGGACGGCGGAATATATCTAAAGCGCAGCAGCCAGCAGTTGAATAATGTATGTATGGCAGAGAACCTACAGAACGTGGCAGACTTAGCGTAGGCCGCATTTATTCAATTTCGTCGTCGGATGAGGTGCAGGTGGAAGAAGAAAAGGAAGCGACTGCCACTGTGACAGTTGACATCCTTTCCAACCATTGATCTCCCTCCGTGTAATACGTAACGTAACATCGAGTAATCTAACATTGCCAATTTAAGTAAAATTGGGATTCTCCGATGCTCGTACTTTGAACTTATCTCTGCCCACCCAGACTCACTTATAGCATAAGAAAGTTCCTACTCCTCACTTGCCATCACTGCCTTTCCTCCACTCATACACATGTGAATCATGCACAATAGTTGACTTGAGACTGCAGCAACCTTTCTTCGTACTGCATGGCTTTCACCAGGCTCGCTTCCTGTTTAAATCTGCATCTCAATTCACCCAGCCAGACTTTTGGTAATGTCACATCATCATCCAACTTTCTCTTGGTTGAGGCTGCAGGACAAGTGGATAATAATATGGAGCACTGGAAGAACGTGTGGTCATGACATTCTGGGTGAGTAAACCCGATTGCAAATAAATCCTGTGAGTTATGACCTTCCACATCTATATCATACACTTTCTTCTACATTTGAATTTCAAGATTCAACTTCTCTCCTTGTAGGAAATACGACTTTTAGGAAACCAAACCACTGCTGCAACAACCAAACCAAACTAACCTTTCCACTAAAACCACTTCCTTTTGCCACCCCTTTTCCCTCTTAACGTTGACCCATTTCTCTCGCCCACTCTTTACACTCTCCTCTTCTTCCCGTCTCACTTTTACCACCAGCCATAGATTACTTTCTCCAAGAAGTATATGGAATACGTACGAATGTATCTGTTCATGTTCTGAGCGGTATGGTGCGGATGCAACTTTTTATTAGGGCAGTATTTGCGTTTGAGAATAAATCTTGGCGTTGGTTCATTCCTTCAAGTATTACACGAACCACCATGTTATTCTCAAACTGGACAAATCCTTCCTGCTGTACCATGTGCCGTACCAGGAGCGGAATTCTGGGATGAAATCTTATCTAGTTTATCATGAAAAGCAACTCCCACCTTTTCAAGAAATAGAAATATATACGGTGAAAAGTAAACTTGAACTTACTCTGCAAAAGTTTTCTCCAAATCCGAGTGTCGAGTTCCTTTTTCTCTGTTTCTCACTGTTCTCCAGTCTAATGCAATCACAAGTCCAATTTTTCTCTGAATAATTTAGTTTCGCACTGTTAACACTCAAATTTGAATTTATTCAATTCCCAATTGTTTTAGTGGAACGGAGCAAGACGATTATAAATTACGAATACGTCGTGGACGACTTTTGTAGCAGAAGAGCAATATCATACAAAGAACGGAAGAAGGAACGAGAGAGTCACACTTACTTAAACTTGTTCACTTCTCGAGTTACTTCTTCATCACACGCAGACAGACACTCTCTGCTCGTTCGTAGTGCGTTTTTGCTCAAGTTGAGACAGACAAGTGGTTCTACTGTATTTTTAAATATCGAAACTTCTCGGCACAAATTCCCACGTGGGTTCTGTGCTGTTTTCTTCTTATGAATAAATTGCACAACTGATTGCTGTGTACTCTTTTAAAATTTAAAATTCTCATGAAAATCAGAGATCAGGAAATCCTTGTTGTTGTTGCAGTCAGTCAGGTCAATGAATGAATCCAAGAGTAACACAGTGTTTCAAAACAAATCACGAATTTGAGACAAAAAGTATAAGGTTCACACACACCCAGTTTTTATAGCAGAATGTTTGCTCCTGATAAGCTGCAAAATAAAGACACTCGTACGTTTATTGACTTTTTCTTTCTGATTGTAGACTGTTAATTAATATAATGTGCACATCCTCAGTCCCCTTTATGACGAAAGTGGTGGTTAGAAATGTTTGAGTAATTAAGGAATTTATGAATTAACAACATTCGTGTCTCATGTACGTATGTACGACAGTTTATATTTGTATTCGGTCAATTCTTGTGCAGCCAACTTTTTAAGTCCAATAGTGGAGAATTTTGCGTGTGGAGCGACCTTTTACAGGTGTAATTCACTAATTCTTGTACAACACACAACCACGAGCATGTGGTATATAAAGTTAGCAAAGTCAATGAGCTCGTGATCGTTAAAATTTCTACGACTATCCAAGAATTTATTATACAGATGAAAAATTGACAACTTCCTCCTCCACTATATCATCCATCCGACATATAAGAGGAACGAATGCTTACTTGATTACTCAGGTTGATAATAATGATGATTGGTATCTTGCAAAGCTTAGAGACGTGTGGGAACCCGGGGTAGTTTGTTGGTTGATTAATAAGGGAAAAACGAAACGGCTGGTGGAATTTGCTTAGGTCAAGTAAAATTGGTGTGGGTAACTCGGATAAATGTGGAGCTGGTGATACGAATTGTAAGGGTTGGATATCTGACGAACGCCTAAATCGACCAAAGGTTTAGTGAAGAAACAAGACGATAGAATCGTGTTCTCTCCTCAGCGTCCTGATAGCAACTGAGCTGAAAAGCCTGAGCTCTCGCATTTTCTCATCCCTGCCCCCAGTACCAAATTGTGTGCTGCAGCCAGGCGTCCGCTCTGTGTGCAGGCACTGACGAGTTTGTTTTGTGTAACGGAAGGAAGCCAGGACACAAGGTTTGCTTTACTGACTTGAATTTGAGTAGTTGAAAATGAGTAGGAAAACATGAAATGCAGCATTGGCTGTAATGCGTAATAAGGGTAAAAACAGTGAGACTGTCGCATTCATCTGGTATTTGCATTTCGTACATGCTTTACAATTATGTAACCTGGTTAGGGTAGTTAAATATATATAATTCAATGAAACTCGAAGCAGGTTAAAATATTTAGAGATAATTTTATTAGCTTGGAACGTTGGAAAGATAATTGATTCCGTCCATAATTACGTGGGCATTATCATAGTTTACCAATGGTCATATTCTTGAAAATTATTGAGCCCAGGAGACCCGTAAAAACTATATATTGAAGGTTTTGAAAGTTTTAGCTTTCTGCCGGGTGGGTTGTCTGGGTCGCGCCTCCTTGTCGAATTGGTAATGATAACTCCAATATTCACTTAACTTGATGGATTCTGCATGAATCTACAAACTCTTCGATTTTGTTATGAAATGGGTATTTATAATATTTTTTAATGAATATTGTATTATAATGGCCAATTGGAACTATATAGTCGAAGTTGAACATTTTAAATTCAAAATTGAAGTTGAATTTCTTATCCAAAAAATGCGTATAAAATAAAACATATTAATCCATCATTAATTTAAATAATTTCATGTTTCGTGAAAGCCAAGACATTTTGCACGTTGTCCCTTTAAAGGTCACAATTTTATAGTCGCAGATGTGGCGACTTTACTCGCATGCATTTTCATTTCTGACAATATTTTGTATTAAAAATGTATTTAATTGATCGCGTTGGTTGATTTTGCTATTGCTTTGCCAGTCACGACAACTCCTGGAAACACAGTCGTTACACTTTTCCCAGTCAAACAACATTCATTACATCCGGTCTTTAAAACATAGTGCAAGTTTAACGGGCACTAAGCGTAGCTGAAGTCAACCATACCATTCACCTTCCTGTTCGTTTCCACCATTCAACCCCAACCAGCCAGTCAGGTAAAATTATTTAAATTCTAATCTAATTCAACCAACCCTTTCAGCCCTGCCCTTCCTTCCACCACACCATGCGGCCAGATGCATGTTGCCCACTGATAATTTTGATCGGTGTGCTCTAAAGAGTCCAGGGAATTATTATTTTGGCTCTTCCATTCATTCAAACCATTCACCAAGTCAATTGTGGGTATTAGATGCTCACGTACACTCTGCTATCCTGTATTATTGGCAGGCTTATAAATACATGGTACGTCCAGGAGGAGGGAGGTGATTACAAACGTACAAATTTGGCAACGATATGCATCGCATAACTAGCAAAAATTGGTAATAGAGGAAAAATATTAAAAATTATAAAATTTGCAATAGAGCATGGTAAACCAATTATCTATGTACATTTGCATGAACAAAATGCATTGAAAATAAATATACTGGCTCATTGAAAACAGGAACACTAACCTGCTCGTTTGCCGTTAAATGTTTTTACTACCTATCATGCATCGATATTTCAGCAAAATTATTATGTGTGTAATATACTAAACTAAACTACGACAAAGTATCAAGTAGAAGATAAAACAGGAACGTCTGCTTGTAATTAGCGTGTATTCTATCAAATAGCTTACCAAAAATTATGAGTTAAACGCAAAATTTAAAAAACTTGTGAGATTCTACTTTAGTTTTTTTATTATTTAAACACAGTCTATAGTCGTAGCAAGTTACAAATGCACGTCATAAAAATAAGTGTCCATTATTTGCAAATTCGCATTAAATTCTAATCTAACTATATGTCAAAGTTGGCAAACCTATGAGAGTAAACAATTTTAAGTCTGAAATGAATTTATTATGCACATTCCAATTAAAACTTGCGATTGCGTTAATTATTGCGACACAACACTACACATGCTTATATACGCCTATTGATACCTACAATATTGCTAGCAAACTAAGGATAAGCCATACCTCGATATTGAGGGTGCAGTTAGACAATGAGAACTAAAACAACAACAAACCTTCATGTTCTTGAGTATATATTGTTCAACGCAGTCTTTCTGAAGACATGTGTAATGAGAAATTTATTGCATCCAACTCCAATCTACTCAAATAACACAAGTTTCTGCAATACGACTCAACTTTAAAACATAAAATAGTAAAGTGATCGATTGGGGAGAACAAAAAAGACTACTTCAAAAGTGTACAATTCTGTTTTTCAGTGCAGTCTCAATGTTGGTGTTTGATACAAGAGGCTAGAATTGGGAAGAATGTCATGTTATGTAAATTGAAACAAGAGCTGACTGCCAACTCCACCAAAAGCGTTGGAAAATTTTGAAATAAAATTGGACTGGATCTGCCTTTCAGGGACCAAACTGCAAACAAGAAATCGAATCTGGGCTCAAATCTGTGTTGGAAAGTAGTGGCCATTCATAGGACGACGTCAACCAAGTCACAAACAACAATACGGTAGGATGCATCAGTTCCATCGTCTTTCCACAGCCTGGACATACACTTGACAAAATTGAGAGCAATGAGAACACGCACAAATAAATACAAAAATACAGAGAAGTCATTACGGGCACAGTGACGCAGCATTGTGGAACGAATAGACTCGTGTACGCATATTTGTATGTATGAAACAGAAATAGCGTAAACTGTCTAATAAACTACTTGTAGAAGTAGGAATGACTACGGAACAATTTCTTGGGAAGGTTTTTTTACAATATTTGTATGTTGGGATCAAGATCAAAGGAAATGAAGTTTGTTGTAGTGAATTGAAGCTTCTGTCTCGGCGTATGAGAGAATCGAGGAAAAGAAAGTCCAAACAGTGTTTGCATTGTGCTTGGTGTACGTATGTATGGACCAATCTTATGATACAATATTGCAATGACCTGTCAGCAGTTCTACGCACATTTTGCTGTTTACATGCCCACTTTCCCCGCAACACCGCACAGATGCATGCACGTACCACTCCTTAGTCGTTTTACTTCCGGGCGACAAGTTTTTTCTGGCCAAGTGACGTTTTCTTCATTCTAGCTCCATTCACTTCGTTGGGTAGACAGTTGGGAAGTGAAATGTTTCTGTTCAAATTACTGGTAAAATTTGGACCTACTTTTGTATTTATAATACCACTAACTTGTAATGAGAGTGTCGTCTAATCAAATTCATGAGTCATGCTTATTCTAGAAAAATGTTATTTATTTTCTTAGGATTATAACCGTTCACCTTTCAAGGCAAGGTGAGCATACTAGAAACAAATCTGGAACTAGAATTAGGTCAGCAAATGACTTTCTTTATTTCCCTGAATAGATAGTTACCTTGCACAGAGTGGAAAAATGTGGAGGAGGGGCGGAGAAGAGTGCGTTGGGCGACTTTTTCTCTGGCAATTTGCACATTTCATCTCTTTCGCGAAGGTAAAAGGAAAAAAAGAGTGAAAACAAAGGAGAGAAAACTACTCAGGGACAGAGTGAACCAAAGTCCACACCTACGTACTCCGCCCAGATGAAGACTTAAAATATGTTTAGGTCCGCATCTCGTAACTCCCAACGGAGAGGGCGACGAAAGGGAGAAAAACAATAAAATAATGTTCGCCCAGACTGAAATAAAGATTGGATTGAAATCTGGAACGCCTCTTCAATAATGCAGTGTCAACCGAGTCCTTCTCTACTTTATGCCAGGATTCTCCCCGTGCAAAAACTCTGTGGTGTCTACGATTGGCCATGAAAATACATTAAACCATGGAACATCAGACCATTGAAAAACAAATGTACTCGATAATTGAAAGTTACACAGCTCATTTTAAATGTTTATTACAGCTGCTTCTTTAACCTAGATTGAAAGTCACACTGTGTGAAACACAGTCATAAGTTAATGCATACATAAACATAGTAGGTTATGAAAAAGTAGTGTGGAATATTATAGTCCTTGTAATCACATGTCTGCCCAGTCTAACGTAAAATCTATATCTTTGAAATGTAAATCTGACTTAATCTATTTCGATATAATTTCGAGAGGAAGGAACAGCATCACTTTTCATATGTGTAGTTGTTCTCTCCAAACAAAACTGATCCTCGACGAGCAAACCCTTTTTCTTATTTTCATTTCGAACCATGAGTTTTAAGCTTTAACGCTCACCCTCAATCAAAATACAACCCTGTCCAACGAACCACTAGGAATTATTACAGGAAAATGTAATTGGCTGTGCAACATATCGTTTGAAGTTTGAAGTGCACATCAGTCATCTCCAGTCGTCCATCCAGTATTTCTCACCCTCCAGCTCAATTTCAAATCTCAATATCAATATTACACTTTCAAACTTCAGACCTTGTGAATAAAACATAAATGGAATCAACTCATGTAAATTGTGCAAGTTACATGCTTTTCAATATGACGAGTTTCACGGAGAACCTCGTTGTTGTATTTCCGAATAATTCTCTCAAATTGTAATCCGTCCGTCTGTCTCTTGATTTCTAATCTCCCTTTAGTAACAGACCACGAGAAAGCAATCATGCCATTTCATATTGGCCTAAGTAATTTCGTACCAAAATTATGTATCTACAACTTAACGTAAACGTCACTTTTTGTATTATTTGGGCCAAAGCGAAAGGAGTAACAAAACTAATCACGTAATATGTTAAAAAAACTAAAACTGATGTAATTCCACTTTGCATACTTTATAAGCGTACAAACTACCTCAGGACAAATGTTTACTTGCATCATGTAGCAGCAGATATCTGTTCAGTGACAGCGGCAGTTAACAAATATTAACAACGTGTATGTGCACAAATATTCGACAAACCTTATGTAAAGGGTAGTTTTATGTTAATAAAATTTGTATTTATTGCTTTGTTCAAGTGACGCATGCAAGATCCATCAACAAAATGAGTCACTTGCA